TCTATCAAAATGGTAACAATATATATTACTATATATTAATTTATAACTTTAAACTTGTACTATAACTTTATTTATAAGTACAAATTATAATATTTATTAAAAAAATAAAATTTATTTAGTAATAATTAAATTATTTTTATTTTTGCATTTATTAAATTTTATATAACTTTTTGAATATTTATTATTAATATATATATTAAAGATAAAATCAAATTAGTTGTAACTTAATTACAATTCTCTAATTAACTATCACAATTAATCACAATTAATTACAATTCTCTGATTAGATATCACAAGTCACAATTAATTAAGATATTATCTTTAGTTATTATATATCAATTTGTAACTCATATTATTGATTATAATTTTACTTAGAATTATAGTTTAAGATTATTATTGAGAAAAATTAATGTTTACTATAATATATATAAAGTTAATTAAATTATAAATAATTAAAAAACTCATATTATTGATTATAATTTTACTTAGAATTACAGTTTAAGATTATTATTGAAAAATCAATATTATACATAAAGTTAATTAAATTATAAATAATTAAAAATATTTTTTAAATCTATATAACTTTTTGAATATTTATTTTAAATATTAATTATTTTATATTAATTTGTAATTTTAGTTATTAATTAAAACATTATCAAATATTTATTTGAACTTGAACCAGATTTTTAATTAGATTTAAATTAAATTGAAGTTTAAATCAAATTTAAATCAGATTTTTAATTGAATTTGAATTTTTGAACTGGATTTTTAATTAGATTCAAGTCAAATTCAAGCTTGAATCAAATTAAACTTTTTTTTTGAAATCTTACTTGATCTGATAAAAATTAATAAAATTCAAATATTTCAAATTTTTTTTTATATTTAATCTAATAAAAATATATTAATAAAAATTGATTATATTCTGGATTATTTTCTATATTTAATTTAATAAAACTCAAATATTTCAGATTATTTTTTATATTAATTTGAAAAAAAACTAATAAAAATAAAAATATTAATATTTTAATATTTAAATTATATACATATAATAGCAATAAAAAAATGGAATGCTAAAACAAATTTATTAATAAAACATAATAAAAATATAACAAAATACAAGTTTTTCTTTCTATATAAAAGTTTTCAATTTTACTAATAAATATTTTTATTTTATATCAAAATAAAAATAATATTATATACTTTGTAAATTTAATTTGACAAAATTATTCTAATTGCATATAAAATTAATTATTTTTTATATGTTTTAATTATAAAAAAAATAATTAACTTTATATGCAATTAGAACAGCTCTATTATTTAAAAAATCTGAAAAAAATATATATTAAAATATGTAATATTATCTTTATTTTAATGTTAAAATATGTAATATTATCTTTATTTTAATGTAAAAATTAAAAAATATTTATTAATAAAATGAAAAACTTTTATATAAGAGAAAAACTCGCATTTTACTATGCTTAATTAATAAATTTTGATGTCATTGCATTATTTTTTTTGATTGTCACTATATATATTATAAATATCTAATAATAATAATATTTGAAAATTGAAAAAATATTTATTATAATTCAGTAATTAAAGTATATCAATCATGTTTTATTAAATAATTTTATAAAAATTTAAGAACTAATTTACAAAGTTTGTCACTATCATAATTTTAATCTCTACTAAAAAAGAAATTTTACAAATAATCATAACAATAAAAAAAGCTCAAGTATGCAATAAAATATAATTATTATTTAAATGATCAAATGATGTATCATCATTTTCTTGTAAAATTTCAATGTTACAATTCAAAAAATTTGATATTTTTAAGTGAAATATTAAATCATTAACGAGTTAACTACAAAATTTGATATATTTATAATTGCACATTTATACTTTATCTGAATTGATAATAATATGATATTCTTTGTTGTCCAGTAAATAATTATAGCTTGTGATCTATACGTGAAACAAAATGAAATGGTTACGATTTGGCTAGAGGATTTTTGTTTCACGTATAGATAATCCAAAATGCAAAATATAGACCGTTTATTGCTTGATGATCATGTGCTAGTAAATACTATAAATAATTTAATGTCGTAAATCTCCTGGCATACCGAGACACATGTCAACATTCTGGCGATCAGGGTAGTATAGCGATAACGATAAGGAAAGAAATCTAAGAAGCAAAGGTTTTTTATTCTGGTAGCGTAATGATACATGTAATTGTCATTCCATAAATTTTCGGACCGAAAGTAGGAGACGAATTAATTGTTATAATTAATTAATGAAAAATAGTAGCATGTGGGTTGTATAATTCTTTTTGCGTCAGGTGATATTATTGAATATTGTAAGGTTTTATATTGTTTCTGAAATTTGGCGAAATTGGTGTATCAGAGCTGACTACTCAACCATTGGTGTATCAACAAAATTTGCATTTTGCGCTAAAAGGAAAAGGTTGCTTTCGCTATCGTTATTGGTACCAAACGAAAGCTTAACTTTCCCTAGCTTCTTGTGGTTTTAGCTGTCTTTGACGCTTTGCCAAGGTAGCATTAACTTTCCACACAGTGATTAGCATTTATATGGATGATGAAATAGACTCTCTATCTTTGTAATACCAGTTTTTAATTTGTACATATTTATTGATGATGATGTAATCTCAAGGTTTGACCATTAGAAGAAAGCCCATCAGGTTTTTCCTTGGAGTTACACGTTGGAGAATAATGTGATTTCAAATCTTCTACCAGATTTCACTATATATAGATGTGATTGAGTATGCGGTGGTCCGTGAGACTTGAAAGATGTTTTCTTTATTTGGATAAAAATTCCCGAACACGGAGGTGACGATTATGATTATCATTTCTATTTATCCAAAGCTTCGTCAACAAAATTTAGAGTTTGGTTGCGTTGTTGTACAATAACGTGTTAAAGCGTGTGTGTTTATGAAAGCAAAAAGTACACAAAAAATAGTCATGTGTTCTCGGACCTATAAAATCATACAATGTAAGAATAGGTTGTTTAGGAGAAAATCCGGGGCTGTGTTATCGTTGATGGATAATGAATCATTGATTCCACTATCGAAGTACAAGGCAGGGAGAAAATTGTCAAGAACGAAAAACAAATCACATAAAAACTAAGCTCATTACTAATGATACTTGCCCCAATTTTTTTTCTCTCACCTCTCGCTCCTCTTATCTTTCCTTTCTTTTCCCATTCATTGATAAACGGCGTCATTAGCAATGGAAAGAGGACCAACGTGTGCATTTTTGTATTTATTTGCGTACGAAATTATTCTTGCGTGGGAATTTTTATAATCCATATTTGTGTAGATATTGTTGTTTATGCACGCACAACAATCATTTCGTCCAATCATAGCGTATAGAAATTTCATGCTAAAACACATTTCTTAGCAACAGATCAAAATTACATGCTGGTAATTACGAAAAAGGGTTTACTTATTATCCTTAAATGCAAGATGTATGAATTTCCCAAACGTTAAAATTAAAATTTCAAAAAATTGACCGTAAGTTGGATTTTCACTTAATTAAGTCAAAATAATAATGAAATTCGTGCCACGTAATACAAGAAAATTATTGAACCAAGAGTTTGCCCAAAAAAGAAAGAAAATAAGCTAATCGTAAAATCCACATTTAAACATACATGCATGCATGCACGCATGCGTGCACACAAAATATAATTACAAGCATTATCGTTATTATTATTATTAAATTTCAAACGAGCACGTACAGTACACAATAATAAAAAAAATTAAGGGAGAAACACAAACGTGTAAGAATATGCAAGCAAGCATGTTTATAATGATAAATGCGTGATTTAAATGATTTATTTTATGTTACGCATACATACTTGATCAAAAGCTGAAAGACTGGTTGATGTCATTAATTGATAGTAAATCGATTGATTGGCGAGTGGCGATTTATAACTTATGTTGTTTCGTTCATTCATTTCATTTCGTTCGCCAAAACGAGTAAGAGATGCTTATCTCTCTCCGTTCTCTTAACAATCAAAGAGAAACATTTATCAGACTCAGACTCACATGTCTATCGACAAAGAAAGAAGAACGGAAAGAGAAAGTTACTGTTTAGAAAGGTGATAATTAATATTTTTTTTGTTTATTGTGGGGAAGGCGTGTAAACAACAATCGTAATCAATCGACAAGAAGCAAGCATATATATCGATATAGTATGTAACATGAATCATTTCTTTGTACTTGAACGTTTTACATTTTACGTTTTATATTTTATGTATGAAAATCATTCTGTTTCAGCGGCGGCGGGAAAGTCGATTGATTGGTTAGGAACGAGAAAATCTCACGAGCAAGATTATAAATTGACTGACCATCTAGATTTTACGAGTGGTGGTGACTCTCTGGCTGTGGGTGGGAAGAAAAAAACATACTATTCTAATATTGTCACGTTTAAATTCGGGTGAAAATAAAATCGGTTGAGAATGATCACGACTGTTCCTGTTTCTCTACCGTTCCAGTATGTTCTTCGACTTACCGGATCTATTGTGATGTGCACAATCTAATGCCTATAATGTTATGAAGCCATTATTTGTTTCCACCAATTGGCGAAGAATTATTTCTTCACGAAGATAACTTTATTAAGTTAACATCGTCATGCAATTATGCATGTCATCGCGAAAAAAATAAATTGCACATTATTCGGTGATAATATCTTTCCCATGATGTCATCATAATTCCAAACAAAATTGGGACCAGGCGCGAGGTCTTTGTTATTTATTTATTCATATTATTTATACTACATCGTTATCCCGATGTGACCCGTTACGGAAGAACAATAGAGAAAGGATTAGTGTTGTGTACGCTTGTGTTTCAATGTGTTAATATATTCGGGGCATGCAAGCAAATAAACATAACATCACCGAAGATTTCAGGGGATTCAGCAAATTTTCGAATTCAAGTCATTGAACATTGGCCGAGATAGCATTACACGTCACGTTGTCGATCGATGCCTATTCGTCTTTCTGCATGGAGCAAATATGCCGTGAGATGCACCGAAGCATTTTTGCATTTTTGAGAAGGCAATAATCATTTTTTTCTATAACAATTTAAGCATTTGGTGATTCTTAGAAGTTCCGAATGTCAACCGTATGACAATGGAGACATGTTGGCTGAATCAACCTTACTCTTGTCAATTAATGGTAAATTGGAATTTAGGATGGAGGGTTAGACAGATTATAATTCGTGAGGATAATGGATGTACGCGCTTACACGAGAGTTAGCAACACAGAAATTTCTCTTGCAACCATATTTATAGTTGGTTCGAAAAACACACAAGTCTAACCGAGAACCAGAGTCTGGCCAAGAACAAGAAACTCGCAAAGAACAAAGAAACCGAAAACAGAGCATCTCTTGCCCAACAAACAATTCCCCCCCCCCCCATTCATTTAATCGATATAAAAACAATAATGATATTGTACGGGTAAGTGTTTATTTATTTTTGCAACGAATAATAGATGGTGGGATGGACGAATCATTCATTCATATTCAACTAATTAATCCATTTCTTACTCAATCAATAAACATATATCATTGTTAGATTATTAGAGGATGCTACCGCCATTATTTTTATTATTATTATTATTATTATTTTGATTATTATGATTAAATCTGTATAATACAAAAAAAATAGTAGGTTTGCTGAAATATGAATGTATCATCATGGTTGTGCCCAACGGCTTTTACCTTTTCCATTACATAACATCGCACAACAGAACCGAGCGCATATATATACATCTTTACATGAAAAAGCTTCTTGCCCTTTTTCATAATATAAATACTAAGCGATAAAGTAAAGAATCAGAAAGATAAAACATCACACCGTCACACAAGCTACCCAACCCCCCCCCATTTGCCTTTTATTGCCCTCTTTGCTTCTTTCAAATCCTTCATTTTTCAGTTACTGCTGTTATGTATTTTGTATATCTACATCTACATCAATATCAACATCAATAATAAGCATCATCTCTGAAAAAAATCTTTCGTTGTATCGTATATACGAACTCATTTAGAAGTAAAAATCGGCACAACAAAAAAAAAGTTTAATAAATAGAACTCTCACTCTAAAATTTTCTTGTTACCCGTTTCTGTTTTATCGTCGCCTTTATTATTATCGCACGCATATCATCATCACCATCACTGTCACCACCAATAAATCAACCTCTCTATAAATATATTTTCCATATATAAATATAATACCTAATACAGTACATAACACACCGTGTACATATATATGTAATATATAAAAAGCTTCTTCCTCCCATAAACCCATTTATAAATTCATCGAAATAGCAATAATAATAATAATAATAATAATAATAATAATAATACCTGTGTAGCTTCTACTTTTTATACTCGCTTGATACGGTTTTTTGGTGCGTAGCAAATAATAGTATTCTCTACCAAAAGAAAAGAGAAACCCAACTATATAAATATATTTCATGTCCTTCTCATAACCAAAGTATCGTCATCAACAAGACAGAGAGAGTATACCTTTGTACTATATTAGTGAGACAAAAATAAACTTGGACCAAAAGTATTTTAGTAACACTGGAGGAAAAAAAGATTTTCCATTCACAACAACAGCAAGAGCGATCAACAATAGCAACCCCAATACCAATAATACCTATACGGACACTGTTAATAAACTTCTGTAAGATTGCAATCGAGGGACGAATGTTCTGCTAAGAAAAAAATGTATTTTTCCTTTTTTTTTTTAGTTATCGTAATTTTCAAGATGTCGCTTGAAGTTGACCGCAAATTGCTTATACCGTTTTTCTAACCATCTTTGCCTTTTCTGTCCCCTTGTTGTTTTTCTCAACTATTATCGAAATACAAATATTTAGCCTTCCACTATATAAATATAATCACCACTCAGTAAATATAACAACAACAATAATAATAATACTCTTAATAATTTAACCACCTTGACGGTTGAGTTCATAGAAAAAAACGGACATTTTTTTTATTTCAAAAGGACAATATGACTCGACCCACAACACCATCACCATCTTTCCATTCTTCATCATTATCATTATCATCACCGTCGTCGTTGTCATCACCATCGTCGACACAAACAAAAAAATCCTTATCTGCTCCAGTGGTACAGAGCAGGCTCGAACACCACCACCTCCTACAAAACAAGACCGCTTTGAAACCATCGAAATCCATTGAATCAAAACCACAACAATCTCCTCAACGGTCAAAGCCTTTAACTAAAGGGAAACGTAATATTAACAACAACAACAACAACAACGTGGTAAAGGATAACATCAATGCTTCAGCAGAGCTTTCATCCGTCAAAGGAGCATCAACTGGATCGTCATCTCCTCCTCATCGAATCACCACGATATTGTCTCGTGCAAATAAAAATTCCATTAATAATTCTAGCAGTAATACTAATGCTTCTCGTGGTGAGAATACTGGTGTTGACAATAACATCGAGCAAATTAAATTCTTTGAGGTTTCTTCATCATTATCAAATTCTTCGAATGACAGTGGTTCATCTAATTTTGCCAATTTTGATAATTTAAAACTCGTCAAACAACAGCAACAACAATCGCCTCCTAATAATAATTCAACAGGGGCAAACAGCAGTCAGAGAAAAGCAAAAGTGACTTCATCCTCCACTCCAAATCGACGAAGACATCAACAAAGTGATTCGGTTGATGATTCTTCCAATAGGAAAGTGATGGTGATCCTACAAAGACCGAAATCCGCCACAGATTTTGTGAAACCCGCTGTCAATAATACCAATACCACTAATACTAGGAAATCTCTTGATGCTCCTCGAGAAGTAGTAAACAATGACGTTAAGAGTGACCGTCAACAGCAACGTCGTTCTTCACCCACCCAACAAAATCGACGAAATAATATTCCAAATGCGGAAAGATCTGCTGCTACACGTCGTAGTAGTGATATTCCTTCATCGAAAGCAAAACGTGTTCAGCGTCGTAAGGATATTATATCAATGATTGATGCTATGAATAACGATTCGATGTTGAGTGTTAGTCCCCCACGACCCGAAGAAAGTCCTCTTCAACAACAATTCCTCCATCAAACAGAAAATTCATCCGATGTAAATAGTATCATTTTGGATTCATTGAAGAATCTAATTTCTAATTCACCAACCAACGGTGATGACCTCATTATCACAAGCGTGGCCAGGTCGCCTCTAGAGAAAAATAATACAGCCTTCCCGGAACTTTACACTAATGAAACTGGTCTTAATAATAATGATAGCTCTTCTCTTGTTGACATTAACTCGAATGAGACGGATGACAGGTAGATTTCTTTTATAATATATATATATATATATAATGTATCCATATTCTATTCCGGTAATTTGCTTACTTAATATTTTATGTTTAATCAATATTTTAGCCGTTTCGAAAGATCTTTGAGCAAGAACTTTAAGCGACATTCCGACAATTTTGTGCATAATTTATTTAATAATGTTGCTATTCCGAAAGTTGTATCCCGTCGCCAATCGAGTACTGCTATCGAGTTACAGAGCCAAGTCATAGATTTCGCGAACTTTGATATGATTCAACAACGTCCTTCATCAGCTTCTGCTAAGCCATCTACTAGTCCATCAAGAATGATTACTTCGAAGCTTTACGCTGGTCCAGAATTCCATAATTCGCCAGCACCAAGCGATTTGCCATTACCTTCCTTTATTGGTCGCTCTCCTGATTTTCCATTATCCAGAACAGTTACTCCTCCATTGCCCTATAATGGTAATCGTTCTGAGGATGAAATTATGTTTATTATGGATGATGATGATTTGGCAAAGGATAATGATCCCGAAGGATTGTCCTCCCCGATGAGTTATAATATTCCCGCGAGAATGAATACCGCTCGACCGTTGATTGTGTATCCTAATTATCCGAGCGGTGCTAATTTGATTGAAATTTCGGAAAGTATCAGAAGTATGCTCAAGATCCAGTAAATGTCAACAGATGAGAAAGAGAAAGAGAGTGTGTGTAAAAATTAAATTTTGGCGGTGTGAAAATCGTATTTTTTTATTTTTAATACGAAAATTCGGATTTTCCCTCCTATAAATAATATATATAATAATAGTAATTATAATACTCAACAACAGCAGCAGCATCATCATCAACATCAACATCATCAACATCATCAACATCATCATCATCATAATCACCTTCACCTTCTTCATTAGTAATATAATCATGATGTTCGAGCGCCAGAATTGTTGATAACACAAAAAATCAACCATCAATCAATAATGGACTCTACTTGGCAATAATATATATAGTATTAATAGTATTTCCTTTTTTTGATTTAGACCATATTACCATCTCCTTCTTGCATATATATCTTTTTTTCTTTTTCATTTGTACATTTTTGTGATAATACCTAGTTCGTTTTTTTTTTTGGCTACACAATTTTTCCTCTTTTTTCTTTCGCTATATTTTTTTTGTTAATGCTTAGAATCATATTTTCATTCTTGTAGATAATATGCTTTTCAGCAAAATTTCAAATTTTGTTTATTTATCATAGATTTTTTTCTTCATTATATTCCCCTCACCCCCTTGCATTTCCCTTTTCCCATTTTCGATGTAAATTTTTTATCGATCCTCTTGCTTTTTCTCTTATAATAACCTTTTCCCAACACACTAGACTTGGGACCCTAATTTTTTTTTGCTGTGCATTTTTTTAAAACAAATTTTTCTATTGTATATACTTGGTATATACGCATGTATCCATCCAACATCAACCAACAACACATCATTCTCTCTTATCTAAAAAAAATCCATTTTTCCTTATCACACGTCTATTTCCTACTCATCAACCAAATTTGTGAAGACGCGCGCGTTTTTTTCACAGTTTGGATTTCCTTTTTTTTTTATATATGGGAGGGAGGAAGGTGTTTTTAGTCCCACACGCACAAATCAAATCGACATTCTTTATGTCAATTAACACACTCTTTGCAATCTGTATTAACAATTCTTCGTTTCCTCTCAGCTTATACATTACCTTTGCTTATTTTGCTTCGATTCTCCCCACTCCAAATATGCGTTCTTCTTTTTTCTAAGCTCTTTCTTTTTTTGCTTTTTTTTGATTATTTATTATTGCTTTTTTGGGATCAAGTTGATTATTATGGAAAAACGTTGCTTTCTTTCCATCGCCCTGTTAACAATCACAAAAGAATAATAAATTTTGCAAAAATATTTAAATAGTAAACAATCTTGCAAGTTTCTCGACACACTTGGCGCTTTGTGTAAAATTCTCTTGTGATGTAAAAGTAAAAATAGTAGTCGATCAAAAGCCAAGTATGTACCCGAATCATCATCCTTATTATTCTTGTTTCTTTCTTTACATCTTTTGTTCTCTTCCGTCGCATCTTCTCTCTCGTTACTGTCCTCGTTTACATACACACGAGGATGTCTTTGTTATTGAAGAATTAATTAATTCTGGTGTATTTTTCGGCGGACATAATTGTACTTTAGTAGTAAAACAAATTGATTGAATGAATGAATGAATGAATAAATAAATGAGATCAATCATCAACTGAATGAATGATGAAATTAATTAATTGAATTAAAATTTTATGCTTGTCTTGTGGATTGGGAATTTTTCGAATTTTTGGTGTATTCTGATTTTTTGTGCTGAAGACATTTGGTGTCGATCGATTGATGTGTTTTATAATCAATTTAAAAAAGTTAACTTTTGTCCTTATCGATGATGATATAAAATGGTATATTTATGGTAATGGGTCGATGACAATCAGATTGCGTGATTTGAATTAATAATCGATTATTAGAGTTTTTCTATAAACTAGACAAATTTCACTTTCAAAAAATGAGTTTAAGCAATAACCTACAACATCAATTAAAACAGGGGAATGCGCAACATAATCATCATCACCATGATCTTAAAAGAAACAGGATTTTGGTGCTTGGTAGACGTGGGGTCGGTAAATTATCTTTGATTAAAGGTGATTTTTAATATTATAGTTTTAGGATAAAAAGAATCAAATTTTATTTTATATCAATTTTATTTTCTACTATAGATATCATAGCTAAATCCACAACAACTTCAGCAATAACATCACAAGAGGAAACACCAGCATCATCGACCTCAACTGTCGAATCTAGAAATATAACTGAACACGATGATCCAATTCACTCAGGCCTCACATTGCCATGGCGTATCAGCACAAAATATTATACAGCTGACGTACAATTCTGGATCGATGAAACTGTCAACGAGGAGTCAGTCGATCCTAAAGTTTTGGAGACGTATGAATCGGAAGAGAGTGGTGTTGGTGGTGTCGTGGATGCTGTGGTGTTTATGTTTAGAAAGGATGAGGCGAGTTATTTGATTCGGATTTTACTTGATTCAAATTATTTGAAATAGGATAATAAAGTTTAAACTTGATAAACTAAAAAATAGCCATCCACATTCAATGACATTCGAGCATTTTTACCGTTTATTGCACGTTATGAGCCGGCAATTACTTTGGCTGTTGGTAAAACTGCAACAAAAGCTAGCGATACTGTAGCCGATAATCAGTATATGGATTGGTGTTTGGAGAATGGATTTGAGTATGTGGATTTGGATGCGGTACGAGGGGAAGATGATGATGAAAATGGTAATGAGAATGAGAATGAATCCAAATTTATATTCCATCGATGAATGTTTATATTTATTGTTGAAATATATTTTTTTGAAAAGAGCGAATTGGTATCGATCGAGTACTCGAAGCATTACAATCACATGTGTGGGACGGAATGACACGAATTTCTAAAGTTGCGTCTGGATCGCGATCTAAATTATATTTTAATGTTGACGGTGATAGTGGAATCAAAGATAATGATGACGAATATACTAACATTCATAGTAGCTACAGTACTGTCAAACTGGGAAATCCTGAGCTACAGTATAATCAAGAGTTACTGGAAGGTAATTGTATTATTTTTTAATTTTTTCCATCACTATCATATGTATATGTATATACACTATATTAAAACAATTTTAAAAATTAAATCTAGCAATTTCCAAATTAAAGATTGGCACTGATGATAATAAAAAAAGTAAATGCAGTGGACCGCAAATACAACAATATGAGGATAATTCTGACACGGAATTATTTCAAGGTAAAAATAAAAATACAAAAAAAAACTATTTATTTATTATGTTATCAACCATAAAATTAAAGCATAACTTTTCATCAGATATTCCTAATCAGAAAGAAATCGAAACCATGCACCAACAATTATTTGGTGATATTGATCGTGACGATGATGATCACGATGATATCAATTTTGCTTTGAATGGGAATGGAGAGGCAAGTGATGGACTGGAAAGGGTATTGTTTCGTTTGACTAGTCTACGAGGTAAGATTGGTGATGGAGGAGGGAGACTAGAAGTTGTTTTTAATTTAACGATCCATTTGATGAATTCGATTTGGAAAAATATTTTCTAGAAAAAACCAAATCTTTGCCGGATAACGAACGTAGGAAATTGGCAGCTAGCGTTGCTTTTTCATTTGGGATGCAGTTGGGAAATGATTGATATTTTATTTATTTGTTTATTACCTAATTTTCTTTTGAATTATTTGTTTTTATATTGTTTATCTTTCTGTAAAGACAATGGGTTACCAATGCTATTATGTAAAATTTGGCATGGTCAAATAGATATCTTATCCCAAGTTTCAAAAATGTTAAGCTGTGTAAGTAAAGAATTAATCCATCAACACTCTCGATTTGAATTTTTTTCGATAAAATATAATCGAAGATGAGAATCTATGAAAATTTTCACGTCTAGCTGCGCATTTAAACTTAAAGTCCACTTTGGAAAATTGCATCTTGTGAAACCACCAACACAAACCTTACGACGCTAATTTCGAGAAATGGCAGACCATTTTATAAACATCCGTCGATTATTTTTTATAAATAATTACAAATAACGATTATTACAACTGTGTTAGATATAAGAATTAGTTATTATTACATACGATTATGGTCAATGGCATGCTACACTTCTAGTCACCGTATCTTGTGTTAACGACAAGGTACGGTTTGTGAAACAATAATAACCGATACCAGCCCCAACGACCACACTAGTCATCAAATACGCATTATAAGTCATAAATATAAGCATGATAAACATTGAAATAAGAACTTGAACCGCGTAAAGAATTGAACGCTTCAACTGTTGTCGATTTGTCAATTTACTATGTAGAAATAAATCTATCAAAAAGCACATCAATAAAATCAAATGACAATACCATGACAAAATATAATACATACTGGATGCTGGGACGTACTGCACTTCCATTCTCATTAGAAGAGGATCGATCTACACCTAACAAAGGACTCGTCTCATCTCGTAATCGCTGTAATTCCCCTTGCAATATTCGCTCGTCTACTTTACGAGCATATTCACGAAGCCACTCATATGATGCTGTTATTGCTGCTACGATTAAACAAGCAATTATTAGCTCAAATATTGAATCGACGCGCAACGACCTAAATACAATGCATAGGTTTTCTCGTTGCCAATTGAATAACATCTTTGAATTTTAATTTTCCCATTTTAAATAATATGTAAATATATATGAGGTGTTATTGAATAGTTAAAGTTATATAATAAAGATAAATAAAATAGTATCTTTTCAATGTTCAAAAATAAAATAAGTTTTGCTTAAACTCACATTCATTGAACACCTCTTCATATCGGCTCCACTGTTTGGGTTGTGATCTTCATGGCCCCCATAGCCAACATGTTCTCCATGCTCTCTTTCAAAAAGCCGATAACTCATACTATTATGCTAAAGCAAAAAACAGCAATAATGATACACCGAAATTTGATTAGCATTATTTATAAAGTTATCAGCATACACATTCTCGTTATGTGTAATACTGAGAAATAAAAAAAGCATAAATCACGATATAATCTGTATGGGATATATATATATATGATGATCGCCTGATTAAGGGGGTATATCGATTGATAATGCGATACCCGTGTCTTACTAGCCGATACGCGATCATTCTGCAAGCCGATTTTTGACACTATCTAAAGAGCATTGTCTCGACGCTAGCCAAAGATACACTAGAGACTGTATTGTCTTTTCCAGTGTTTTCATATTTTCAATTAACAAATATTTCATTCAGTACAAATAGTAAATATATTAGTTTTCTCTATAGAATTTTCAGATTATTGCTTCCGATTATGAAAAATGATCATTGAAATGAAAAAAATCGCACAATAATCGACGTATCTTTTTAACCATCTCCTTATAAACGCTCTATAGCGATAATGTTGATCGTGGATTTTCTTTTTTCCTACCAAAACCCAATTCATCCATTTGACGCCGCCAACTTATATACATTCTTATGACTTTATCTTCTGGTTCAAATCCACTGTCCACTTTCCATGCGTCATCTCGTTCACCACAAAATAATCGCCAACTATCTTCAGCGTATTTCCCCATACCGAATAATTCGCGAGGTGTAGTAAAATTTGGGTTCTTGAGATAGGATTGTGAGAACCTTATAATTCGATTTGCTCGTGTGTTACTATTTGATCATTATGTGAAAAGTTAAAATACTGAAATAATTAAAAAAAAAATGAAGCTCATGATTTCTCTTACTGTAATCCAAGCGGTCTCAAAAATGCCGTTAACTTTTCGACATCTGCTTGAACAGCCTTCTCTGCCGATGGATATTCATCCAGAAATTTCCAAAGTAATGGGAGCGCTTGTGTGCCTTTTGTACGATTTAGAAACATTGTAGCAATTAGATGCTAAAAATTCAAAAGAATTATTTTCAAAATCATTATTAATACAAAAAACAAAATATCCAAATAAAAATCCAAACCTTCCAGGGATCATAATACAATGATTCTTGCACAAGGTTAAAGGGTGATTGCATGGGAATAAATTTCGGTATCCATTCTTGTTGTACTGGGCTAGTAAATGTCTTCTCATCTGTTGTAAATTCTTGAACATTATGGTACCCTTATCATAATCAATCATAATTAATAATTGGATTATGGCATTTACCTTTATTTTGCCTAATGTTTGCATCCTCGTCTAGACTCACGATACAAGTATTTTCATTCTCGGCTTTAGACTCTACAGATGCTGGTAATGTCACTTGCTGCATCTCATAATCATTATCATCTTGATTATTGCAATGTTTTAAGTGATTCTTTTCCCTTTGATTTCGATTTTGATCTTCATTTTGTTTAATCTTTTTTACCTTCTCGGTTAAGCTATCACTATTTCCACTAGATCCACGTTTCGAAGCGCGAAAATAACGTGATACTTTGCCTGTTTTAAGGCTAGCGCTTTTTTTCTGAATTTTTCGTCGTGGGAATTTGGCATTTTTTGAATGATTGGAAGTTGAAACAACATGGCTTTTATCCTTAAAATATGGGCTTGTTATAAGTATTTGTGCTTGGCCATCTTGTTGAACTGTATAATTTTTATTAAGAGAGGATTTTTGCCGGTTTACTTTCATTTATACCAAGCAGACGAAAAACACGTGTCTAAGAACGCGTTTTGTGTTATATATAATCCACATTTCTAAAAAAAATTTGATGTTTTAATAAATTTGATATAATTTAATATACTTAAAAATATCATCAATTACGTGTCTTTATTCTTATAAAAATTATGTATTAAATTAGCAAAATAAAAAAAGCTTAAACCTCAGTTTTTTCAATAAAATCCAGTCATTTGATGAAAAATTAAAATATTTCACTATATCAGGAATGAAAATTCAAAATATCTTGTAATTTGACTAATTGTCATTATCGTTATATGAAAGTCAATTATATTTTTGTACTTATCGTTATGTTAAATTAGTAAAGACTACTATTATCAGGAATGAAGATTTGCTCTTATTGTTCTTTTTATTTATATTATACATATAATTTATTATTGGAATTTGCTATTTATTATTATTATTAACAATGTCATATAATTAATTAAATACCAGTCAAATTAGTAATACAAAAATTTGTGTCTTGAATTTTATTTACGTATAAATTATTTATATCCTAAAAAAATATTTCTTAACTCTAATTCTGATAATTTAATATTCGCATCAACTTTTTCTCAATTTATTAGTTGAACAAAAATAATTTTTTGATGATCTTTTTTTAAATTAACTAATTATTTTTCTTAGAATTGCTACGTTAACGTTAACCAGGAATGGCCCACATTGATTTTTCGCATGCGTTGATGATCTGGATAACCGAATTCGACACTTTGCGGAGTATATATATAATACTCTAAGTCAGGTGAATATTGCCGACGTTAACTTCCAAAATAAAAAATGATTATTACATAATTCATCATAAATTCCATCTAGTCTTGACAAAACAAAAGTTACTGTCACATAATTCTAATCCTAGTATCAGCCATCCTTAAAATCATGCCACAAGTTGTGATTCTTCCGAGACCGCCGGTCCCGGAAATTTCAGTTGTGTGATGGATGCTCGAAGAGCGGTCCATAGGCCCTAATTTTACGTGTCTTTTTTATTAACATATGCTAAAATACATGATAATGATAAATAAACCGTGTCTAAATTACTATGTGGTGGGGAAGAAACAGTGGGGCTTGGGCGAACATTTCGGGGTGGATTATAACATCTGTGATATACGTTCCTTCACTCTGTTGACTGCGAGGTGTATTAGTTGCAAATGCGGGATTTTTCCATATTTCAGCACTAATGAAAGTATATTAGGAATGTTGGACTTAGAAATTTTACCCCAGATTAGTATGAATTAGATATTTAATGATGATACTATAGTAGATGTGGGCTTTAATTTTGGCATGTCATAGCTAAAGGTCGGGGAATGCCGGCCCAGAAGAGCAATATCTTCAGATGTTGAGGATTTCTGCTCCCTGACTGTGCGTGACTATCGGGTATTATCTCCGGATTATAATCAGGAAGAAATAGAGCGGAATCTCAACACATTGAGATCTAAACTTGAGGTAAACATTAGACCGTTTGAAATTTTTTGTTTAAAGACTAATGAATAAGGTTATCTATTTAGCATCCAACCACAGGAGCAGATGTAAATCTTTGTAGTTCGCTTAAACAAACTCAAGCAAGAGTATCAATCCTTCAGATCTTGCGAGATCCTGAAGCAAGCGTGGTTTTAAGCGATGATTCGGATATCGTAAAAAACTTGGGGCGGCGTATGTTTTATGGAATCACGTGAAAACATGAAATGCGCTCTTCCAGATCCAGTTGCAGCAGAATGCAATGAATTTGTGGAAAACTTTAATAATTCAAACACTTCAAGAGTTATGAGGAATATTTATCATGATAAAAAATGGAAATATGAGTCTGAGTTACTAAAAGTAACAGAACGTATTCTGGGTACACCAAGTAATTAATTAAAATCATCTCTACATAAATATTTTTAGTACAACATTCCTAATATACTTTCATTAGTGCTGAAATATGGAAAAATCCTGCATTTGCAACTAGTACACCTCGCAGTCAACAGAGTGAAGGAACGTATATAACAGATGTTATAATCCCTTTACTTCGAGCGAGTTTGGGAATGGCAATATCTGTTTAAGCACAGCAGAACGACAAAGTATAGCAAGTGAAACTCGAAGCGAAGTATCTAGTTCATCAGCTCGCTGACTTTTATCACAGCAAATTTTTGGGATCACTGATGCAAATAAACCTCTGTTTCTTTGCGTAAACCAATATACTATTTACAATTGTTGCCTGCTATTTATTATCAGAGGTTAAAACGATTTATGATCGATTAAATGTTAAAGCTTAAATACGAGTAGTGTCGAACTAAGTAATAAAGTGAAGACCGACTCGTTTGCCCATTTATATTACTTGCATGTCCTTTCCTCGACGTAGATAATAAAATGTGTTGAAATAGTAATATAAATTCTAATAAGAGCGATAAAAAAATATCAATTACGATTCACTTCGATAATCTATATATATTATTATATATCACTACTTTTATAACATAGACTACCATCTAAAACATAATTTCCAAAACTAATAATAAACTAACAAACTATCCAAAAAAATACACATTTTAAATTTAACATTCTACCAAAATTGTTCGAAATTCTTTCACCTCCCCGAAAAAAAATTCAAGAATTAGAAGAAAGATCCAATAAAGGTTCGTCGTCGTCGTCGTCGTCGTCGTCACTACCTATCAAAACATGTCCATGGTTAATATTACTATTGCTATTGTTGCTATGATTATTATTGTGATTATTATTGTTATTACTACTGTTGTTGTCGTGATTAGTAGGGTGTGGCGTTGATGTTTCCAGATTTCTGTTACTTGTATTGACGGGTGTTATTGAACGAAGTGATAAATTCTCAGTACTGTTATTACGACTCCTAACAACACCCGCGATATTCAGGAAACTGGAGCCACTATCAATTGGTGGCAATTCAAACCTCGTTCCAGCAATACTTGAAATTTCTCTCCCATCACCCATATCCCTGTCATTTAATGTAGTTGTAGATGGATTTTTTTTACTATTATCATTATTTGATGATGCTTTGTTATTATTGATATTGCCGTGTTGAGAACTTGAAACACCAACTAGTCCCACAAAAGATTCATCTTCGTCATCCACAACATTAATACCAATAGGACTAATAGGATTAGTAGGACTGGTAGGACTGGTAGGACTAGTAGGACTAGTTAATCCACTACTAGGGTTTATACGATGACCTCCCCTAACTACACTTCTTTGGATAAGATTTTCGTGTCGCCATTGTTCCTTTGCAGGCGATGAATTATCAGTTTTATGCCGCGAAAACAAAGGTTTCAAAAATCGATTATCAAATGATATAAACCAATGCGCTTGATCAGCTTTGGCTCTGGCTGCAGCCGAAGATGACTGCGTCAAGAGACCATTATTTTCCACTGACATTATACTATCGGCAGAACCCAAAGAATCTTCTGGTGAGTGATTAAAGTAGAATGTAGTATTGCCATTAACCGCTCGACTTCGTAGATGTCGATGATCTACGTCTTCGAAAGCATCGTATTTGTTTCCTCCAAGAGACTCTTCGTAATCGCTGTCACCACTATCTTCATCTTCAACTCCTGTTCGAATTCGCATGATCTCGAGCATTCTACTTGTAGTTCCACCAAAAACAATCACACTCAGCACGACCACGACCAAAATCGTGGTGCGCATTGAAAATGCATGTTCACCGACTAAGCCTGCTGCCAATGCAAATGCGACAGCTCCACGAAGACCAGCCCAGAACAACATGACTTGATGTGCATGCGGAAGATGCTCTGCACGCTTTCTGTATCTAGCTATAGCATTAATAAGATTCGCGAGCGGAAATACCGCACAATATCTGGACACACAGATTATAATCTAGAAAAAGGTCAAAAACTTTAATAACTAAGCAAACATAATTGATGCGAGAATATGATCAGTCTATTCTTACCGCGGTGAAAAAAATAAAAATTGGTTTATATTGTAGGTCCGTTGAGGTAAATAATGTCAAACCCAAACAAATAAATATAAAATTTTCGGACAGTTGAGCCATCACGCGAAACATGTATTTAGTGGTGCGTTTTGTTCTTAATGACATATTATCATAGGCATAGTGTTTTAGTGTGATTCCACAAAATAAAAGTGACACAATGCCTTAAAAAATCAAATAAATTAAATTCACTCCATAAAATACTTGAGATCAAAAAAAAATCAACCAAAATCAAACAATACAATATAACTCACCAGACATTTTTAGACCATTAGAAAGAAAATAAGAGTTGTATGCAATCAAACCGATCATGCAAGACTCTATCGGTGGATATCTATGTAACCGCGAATATTTTAACATGTATATCTTTTCAGTTAAGGTTCAATCAGTGAAATAAAATCAATAAGCTCTGCAGAAAAAAAAATTATACTAAAATAAAAAAAGGATATCAAAGCGCAAAGTAGTGCAATTAAGACACCGATCAACAACGATGCTGTAAAAATACCCAAGAAAGTTCCAATACCACGAATTACATTCGAAACATGTAGTTCTTGTCCGCGAAATTGCTTTAATGTTCTTCGTATCAATTGAACAAAAATATAGTAAACGGTTAAGACTTGCAACTATAAGTAATATATATATATATATGAATAATACGTACTCGTATAATACAATAGCGACCGCATCATTCAAAATACTCTCTCCAAAAATAACAGAATATAATTTTGGATCGACTTTAAAAGTCTGAAAAATTGCAAGCACGGTCACAGGATCCGTAGCGGATAAAATAGCCCCAAATATCATAGAATCTAAAAACGAGAGAGTTACGATACCGATAAGACCCAAGAAGGCAACTAGAAACCTAAATGGTGGATAAAATTAATCATACAATCTTAAAAGCGAAAATTTTAATTATCAGAGATATATACCCGGTAACTAATGCCGATATAAAAGTGCCAATTAACGCAAAAGTCAGAATTGTCCCAAAATTTCGGAAAAAATTTTCCTAAATGAAAAAATATAACAATTAAGATTATTGATAAATATCATTAAATATAATTTTTATGTAAAAAAAATATATACCCGCTTCAATTCATAACCCGAATTCAAAATAATCGGAGGTAAAAGAAGATTAAAGAAATAGGTATGATTGAAAGTGACCATTTTCTGGATTATTAGACCAGGTGACACTCGAATGATCAAACCAACAAACATTCCTATTATTGATTTTAAATGACTCTTTAGCAAATTCATTTTGCCAGGTGATACACCAATTAGCAGCACACTTGGCTCTCAAAGTATGATTCTGTCCAAAAAGGGTTTACTTAATGTATTTTGCGCAATTATTAAACTTACCCGCAAAAATTGAGACTACCGTTTCATGTACTGCACGAATTTTTTTGATTTGAAGGTAATAACTCGTCCAAAGGGCGCCAGCTAACAACGACGTCTGAATCAATAATGCCCAAGCGGAAAAATATTCCTGGTCGTCAACTGGAGGTTCTGCATCAGCTACCATATTACCCGCTATATTTTATTTAAGTGGAAACAAAAGGTAAATTTTGCTTAAAGGCAATCGAGACAACTTTATTTACAAAGAGTTGCACAGTCTTTAAAGTTTATGTTGTGGCTTTAACATGGTCATTTTTTCCAGTCAGGGGAACTCTACATTTAGGAATTGTTCATTCGATCACTCCTTATCGGGTTTTTACAAAAATCAATCTAACTAAATAATGCTCTTTAACCCCGGCGGTCATAATACAGTCAATGCTGGATTAACAATGCAGTTGCAAATATCGTTATAATCAACACCATTAAACCGAATCACTGGATAAACCAAAGTTTTTAAATAAACCGAAATTTTCAAAATTTCTATTAATAGTCACGACCAGAGTATGAATTATACTAATTTGCCAGCAAATTTTGTAAATTCTTTGGTTGTCGGAATTTGTTCGTCTCAGAATTTATCTTGACATTCCAACTAACTTATCGTATTTAAATGCTGTCAACAAATTTGTTCTTCAAATTCATGCCCTGGTCCCGACCACTTCGGTTACCTTTGTATTATTAAGATTATCGTTAAATGGGCAGAAATTTCATATATATGTTTAATTCAAACTCAAACCAGCAGGTTCGAGTCAGGTTCGATTTCGAACCGAACCAGACTTGAATTTTGGAACGCTACCAATTTACAATTGGAAAAGATTGAATACGTATCGTTGTGCGAAGGTATCGTTATAATATCCAACTTTGACTGGAAAACAAAAGCTTGGATGAAAAAAAGCGCAATCTTGGTCGATGTTTTTGTTATCGACTGATGTAACATGAGATTAAACATAATCGATCTATCTATCATCATAGATGATTATCATTTGGTCCAATTTTGCAGAATTAATAAAGTTCGAGTTTTCCACTCTCTTTTTTATCATATTGATTAATTGAAACTTATCTTTTAATAGGTTATATTAAGTAACATTATGGGTGATTTTTCTTGTTTTTTTTATGGCACTCTGATCTTTCCGCAAGTTTTTCATCAAGTAATGAATGCAAATCGCCTTGATACTAAATTTTCACTCGATAATAACCATTTTGCGCCGGCAATTTTGAAAGTAATAGTGACTCATTAAAAAAATAAAATAATGAACCGTTTATCAACTAATTGATTTTCGTTGTTTCGTTAACCAAAAAAAAAAAAAAAAAAAAGGGATACAAACGTTACAAAGTCTTTGGATGTGAGTATCCTGCTATTTTAAAAACAGATGAAAATCAAGAAACACGCGGAATTCTCGTGAGAGGACTTTCGTCATCCGAAATTCAATTATTGGATAGATATGAAGGAGAGGTAAAAAGAGATAAACCATTTCCAAACTAATAAGAATTACATATATATAGTTCATCTAAACTTATTTTCTTAGCAATATGTGAGAACCGACGTTGAAGTATATATCGAAAATACACCTTCAAATATACTTTACCAACACAATCGGCCAGCACTGTCGACGAGTCTTTCTTCCCTCAATGTCTCTTCATCTCCGTCGTCATCCCTTAAACTTTATAACGATGAGACATACGATGAAATTTCAAAATCTTCGAAATCGCTATTAGTACCAGCACAAACTTATGTGTGGATTGACTCGCCGGCATTACTGGAAGATGCAAGTTGGGATCCAGAAGAATTCGAGAGAGAGAAACTTGAAGAATTTGAGAGAGTGGAACTTAAAGAATATCTTCTTTGATGAATTAGAATGTTTTGTTTTATAGAAAAATTAATTGTGAAAATTCAAGTGCTGCGCCACGTGGTGGATCGCGATTTATGATGTAATATAGAATATAATATATGTAATAACATTATAAAGCGGAATTCTGTAATTTAGGCCGGACAATAACTTTTTCAACTAGAGCTATAGATAGTTTTTGCGAGCCAATCAAATGTTATCGTTATCAATATCAATAACAAATTTTTTGAATAACTTTCGACCCATAGCACTTTACACTGTTCCAAAAAATATACAAAAAATGAATGTTCTAGTATATATTGGACCAGGCAGTTCACCATTATCCGTATCGAATACAATAGACACATTAAAACATGCGCTTGGGGCACACTATGATGTTATTAGAGTCGACGCCAAAGTTATACGTGAAGAACCTTGGAGTGAAAAGACTTCTCTATTTGTTTTGCCAAATGTTAAACTGGTAAAATATCATGAAGAACTTGACGACGCAAAAATAAATAAGAAAATACTTGAATATGTTAGTGCGGGTGGAAAATATCTTGGTTTTGGTGCTGGGGCATGTTACGCGTTGTCTTCTATCAAAGATAACGATGCATCACTAAATTTATTACGCGGCATTTATAAAGCGATTAATTCGAATGGAAAATCAATCAATTTGGAATTGGATCGTCAAGCTCTGTTTCATCATTTTGCGAATGTGCCAAATGAAATAACTTTTGAGTCAAATCAATTCAGTAGTAATGGTGATGATGATAGTAATAATATATATTTCGATTCAGTCGATTTACCTTTTTCGAATTATACAGTATTGGCCAATTACAAAAATATCAATGATTCATTCACGAAGCCTGCAATTATCAAATTTGATTTTGGAAAGGGTAGTGCGATATTGTGTGGCATTGATCTTCCTCGTATTATTTATGATTCTAATAATGAACTGCAAAACGCTACCAATAATAAGACGTCTGCTAATAGATTGAGTGGACAGCTTTTAGGTAGTCTTCTTGAAATTTTAGGGATGAACGTGCGCTTGACAGACCCTCCCGATCTGAAACTGACACCGTTACACCTGACATTTCAAAGACCCGCACTTGCCGATTTGTGGTTGCGATCTGCTCGTTCGTTAATAGATCAAGCGCAAGATGATTCTGGAAAATTTATTATTAAAGATAAGAATGATACTTTTCTTGTATTCGAAGTGAATGACACGTTAATTAGCACAGAATTGATAGAAAAAAAGAATGACAACGATGACACCACAGTGAAGCCAACAAAGATGTTTGTCTATCGAGGAGATTCGCCTTCTATAACTCCCTTTTTCGATTTTTCACTGTATTATAAACTTTTGACAAAAGCACGAAATGAAGATAATAATTTATTTGGTATTTCTAATAATATGGATTTTGGCTCACAGGTTTTGTATGGTGAAGTGATGAAGAGTACTCAATCTTTATTAGAAAAGTAAGTCAACTTTTTCTTAATTACCCAATAAAGAAGCGATTGATTATAACAATTATTTTATTTATTATCAGAAACCCAAAGTTCCTTCAAACTCAACCAACAGGTCTCGTATGTGTGGCTTCACAACAGATAGAAGGCCGTGGTCGTGGTAGAAATTCCTGGATCTCACCACTTGGAAGTTTACTATTTTCCTTTATTATACGACATCCCGCCACTCTACCGTCTTCATCCGCGGTATTCTTGCAATATATTTTAGCAGTGGCGGTAGTTGAGTCTGTAATAAGTAGAATTGGTCACGAGGATATTCCATTGAAACTTAAATGGCCAAACGATATTTACGCAAACACGTCTGACTTTGGCGATCATGCTGATACGAATAGCTCGAAATTTGTTAAAATAGGCGGTATTTTGGTCACGTCGCAAAGTGTACGCAACGAATTTCTGATGATTGCAGGTAATTGAATAACTTGATTTGAATTACCGCACTCTCTAAACTTGTATCTATACAATTTTAGGATGCGGTATAAATACCAGTAATCCAGCACCAACTACATCCATCAACCAGATCATTTCGGAATACAATGAAAAACATCAAACTGAATTACCTTTTTTGTCCCAGGAAGATCTATTATCAGGAATTATGGTGAAATTCGCGTCTTTATATCGAGACTTCTATTATAACAATCAAGCCGGAATTGATCAATTCTTAAAGTTGTACTACAAGAGATGGTTGCACACGTATGTATAATTACTCATGAATAATGCCAGTAATTTTCATTGTCATTGTCATTATGGATAATGCGCTTTATTGATTTTCTCGTAACACATTTTAATAATATGCATGTATAGCAATCAAATTGTCACCGTGAAAGCAGATAGCACGGAAAAAGTAAAAATCATCGGAATCACTTCTGACTACGGGTTCTTAAGTGCTGTTAAAGTTGATGAGGAAGGTAGAGACTTGAATGAAATAATTACTTTACAACCAGATGGAAATACTTTTGATATGATGAAAAGTATGATTACCCGAAAAGTCAAATAAAAATTTTATCTAATAATATTTTCGGTAATAAAATGACCATTGTTTGATCTTTTTATAAGATGTGATGAATAGTTGAAAGCAATATTACAGGTGACTGTGCTGGTGCTTGACTTGAAGGAAATTTCGAAGATAGAATTTGGTGAAAGTGGATTTGGGCGGTGATTAATGTGGTGGTTGTTTGACATTGTTGTGATAGTTTTAGAGAAATCAAAAGTGTATAATTATTCTTTTTATTTCCGCTTTCTATTACCGTTATAGTGTACCCCCTTTATAGTGGAGACTAATTAAACTCACGATATAGTGGATAATACCCAAAACTGTCTTTAATAAAATCCACTCGAGATAGTTATATTTACTAATAAATTTTCAAAACTTTTTTACTAATAGATTTTTTTTGGATACACTATAGGGTTCACTGTGTATTTTAATAAATCATTATTTGAATCATCGATTGAAGTTGCTATTAGTAATAGCGGTGACCTCTAATTTTTTAGAAGACGTGGCTACTGCAATCAAGATAGTCGGAATCTTCAGGTTCCGATTCGGTCGCTTTTGCCGTCGTTTTCCTTCTCATTATCATCCCAAATTAATTATTTTTATAAAGTTTTCTTTATATTAGTCAGAAACAAGCGCGAATGGTATCGTTGGTAAATAATGTTCATTTTATTGCTGATATATAAAAAACGGATTTTCGCTTATATAGACTCATTCAAATATGTAGATTATTATCGTTATACGCTGGCGACTTTTCTTTTGACCGTTATTTTTAGGTGAATGAAATGCGGATTATGCTTGGCGAGCCGACAATTTCGGTTCCCAACATATCTGTAAAGTTGAATACTTTGCCGGTCCGTCCCCGGGAATCATTAATTGATTTCCTCTGCTTTGAATACTAAATGCCGTGACATTTGGTGCTCACAGCAGAGGAAATCAATTAATGATCAACATTTTATATGTTTTGTGTGAAGGTTTTACTTGTCACATTATAATAATTAGAGGGTTAAAAAAGCATTTTAGTATTGGTATGCTCTCTTTTATATACATTATTTTTGAAACGAAGTACAAGAGAATATTGGACAACACATAACGATAAAGAAGCAACAGTATGAAATATACAGGTATTTAATAATGTGAAAATCATAAATGTTTTGGAATCTAGTATGGTCTAAATAATCTAGTATGGTCTAAATAATCTAGTATGATCTAAATATCATCAGTCCGAAATTTCTGAGAACAACTAACTAAAATCAGTTTTAATATACCGATACGTAATAATTTATATTAATCTACATTATCTACTTTATTATAAATATGGTTTATTTTTTCCAAAAAAAGTTATAAGATCTTAAAGTCACATGATTTACTGATAACAAAAATATTTTTATCAAATCTTTTGAATATATATATCAATAATGTTTTTTTTATTGTTTTAATATATAATAATTTTATCATTTCTTAAACCATCAGATTTAGCAGACAAAGTTTTCTGCTAAAATTTTATTTAATATATTTTTATCAAAATATTTTAAAAAAAAGTTTGTTTAATATTAGCTTTAATTATATATTATATAATAATTATTTTTTAATAATTATAAAAAATTATAGTTGTTTATAAGTTAAAAATAAGTAATTTTAAAAAATTTTTATTATTAATCTTAAATTTGAAAAATATTTTATAATAAAATTACAGAATTGATTATAAAATAAATTAAATATTTTAAGCAATTATAAATTATATATTATATTGATTAAAAATATAGTATATTTTTATTTTAGCTTAGAAAAAGAAGAGTTAAGCTTATAAAAATTAGAAATAAATAAGCTAAAAAAATTTAGTAAGCAAATTTATTTACTAAATAATTTAAGAGATAATAATATTATTTTTATTAAATTTCTAAAAATTTTCTTATTAACAAGTTCTTTTATTAAATATTAGAGCTTTGTTTTATAATGAATAAAAAAACAAGAAATCAAATTGTTAATATTTTTGTTTTAGAAAAACTGAAAAAAATAATATTAGCTCAAAATTAAATAATTAATATAATAAAAAATTATTACTAAATTTTTATAATTATTTTCTTTATAGTTATATTATATAAAAATTTTATTATAATTTTTTTTCAAGAATCAATTATAATAAACTATTTTATTATAAAATTCTATTATAATTATAAAAAAATTATTATTAAATTCAAAATAAATGATATATATATTAATTAATTAAAAAATTCTTGTAATATAAAATTAAGTAAAAGAGTTTTATAGAATAACTTTAAATAAAAAAAATATGAATATTTAAAGATAATTAATATATATATATTCATTTGTTGATTAGCTAAAATGAAATCAAAAATATTTAAAGATAATTATGTTCTTCAAAAGTTAATTTATAAATAAATAGAATATAATTTTTTTATTAACTCAATTATATAATATCAACTTTGCAAACTAAACAAGAAATCAATTACAAATATTATAAGAAGTATCATTTTGCAAGCTAGATGAGAGATTATAAATCAAATAATAACAATAACTTCATAATTAAGATAAAAAATTATTAAATACTAACTAAAAATTAAAAGAATATAACAAACAACAAGTTCAATTTCTCAACTTGTTCTTTTTTCAAGCTAAGATACATGCTATTATAAAAATTAAATTTCCAATAAAATTATAAATTGAATTGAATTTTGAATTGAAATTTGAATTGAAATTTGAATCAAATTTTGAATTGAAAGTTGAATTAAAATTTGAACTAAATTTCAAATACTAATTAAAAAATAATTGTTCAATAAAATTATTTTGAATATTAATATTATAAAAATATAAAATTAAATATAAAAAATATTGAATTATAACAGTTCATATACTATATAATTTAATATTTTTTCTTGGTATTTGACTTAAAAGTACAAGATTTTTTTGCAAAATTTATTTGATTTTGTTGCTGGTTCTGAGTTTGAGCAAAATCCAAATAATTATAATGTTTTGCAATGACATGATTGAAATTTGATAATAATCTGTTATCAAAATTGTTTAGTTCAATTATATTATAATACAAAAAAGACTAAATAAGAAAAAATTTTATATTGGTGTCATGTCAAAGAATTCAAAAACAAAATCAAAAATAATATAGAAATATATAATGCAAATTTTATTTTGGAATTTATTATCCAGAGGATTTACATTGATATTTTAATAACTAATTCTATAGAGTTCATGCTCAATATGACTGAATCCAAATTAAAGAGGTCTAGTCTGGACTCGAGGATTTTCAACTTTGTGATCATGTGATCAATAAATGGTAATCAAAATTCGAAAAATCCTCATCTTGAATATCATGAAAAGACAGGCGACATGGCGGCCTCTTCGACCGCGGTCGTAGAACTTGGCTTTGCCGAGCCACCCGCACAACCACTAACTTCTGAAAAGTTTCCCAGCAAAATCGGTGGGAAGCCGGTAGGTAAGCTAACAGATAAAGATACAACCAAAAATAACGAGTTGTAAACTACTTTTATAAGATCTATCTTTACTTATTATACATTACTCAACTTATAGGCATGGTTAAACCCCAAGCATATTTTGTCAGCAGATAAAGTAGAATGTGGTGTATGCAAAAAACCCATGATATTATTGTTACAGGTAATTAAGTTTATTAATAAATCAAAAGTTAAAAAATCTGATCAAAGCAAAAAAGTTCATATTATTTGCTGCGCTCCTTTTTGTAAAAGCTTTATACTCCGGAGGATTACCCACCTGAAGCATTTCATCGAATGATTTATGTTTTTTGTTGCAAGAATGGCTCTTGTCATAAATTGTCTTGGAGAGAAAGGTGTGATTTCATTATTTATATCTTAGCATGCAGATTTGTTATCTTATGCGACGTAATACGAATAAATAAATAATTTATGTTTATTTGAATATTGATAGCTTTAAAGTATATCGTAGCCAGCTTTCAAGGGACAATCCATATTGGCCAGTGCCACCATCAACTTCTAGCGAAGAGCTCGAGGATTCGAATCAAGAAAACATTGCTAGTGAATTGGCACCAGATAACCAATTGTCAGACAGAAATCAGGAGAAGTTGCAGAATGATGATTTAAAGCAAATCCACCAAAAATTAAATAGTAATACAGGCAAAATTTACTTTATTCGATTTTTATATATATCATTGATTATCTATTCACCTATAATTTTCTTTTAGCCATTCAATGCATTGTTTGCGGTCTTCTCGGATCTAAAACCTGCGGGAAATGTAACATTGTGCGATATTGTTCCAAAGCCCATCAAATTGAACATTGGATAACAGGACAGCATAAGACATATTGTAGTAGTATAGATTTGTCATCTAACCCAACAGAAAATGATGACAAATTGTGTCAGGATACGATTTTGTTTCCAGAATACGAGATTGTAAATGAATCTGAAACAGATAGAGATGGTGGTGGTGAAGATGACGAGAATAGGGAAAATGAAATTTCACGTATGTCTTAACACTTTTTAAAATATTCTTTAGACGTCTTTTAACAATGCTTTACATAAATATATATACCATGAATTTAGAAGAGAATAGCAATTCTCGAGCTCTTGTTCCTGTCGGTGATGAAACTTATGAAGAATCACAAGTGAATGTGGATAAAGCTTTTTTGCAATTTCAAAGAAAGGTGGAATTGAATCCTGATCAGGTGCTAAGGTAATTAATTGTGACTCATAAACTTTATATTCCGAAAATAGAATTATATTCATGGTATCTTAATAGATATGCGCGAGTGGAATATGAAGCCGACAGAAATCCTGATCCTTTATGGGTTAGTGAACACGAAAAACCAGATTTACAGCAAGACATACCTGCTTGCCCTTATTGTAGTAATCCGCGTACTTTTGAATTTCAGGTGAATTAGAGAAAACTAATTGAACAACACATACTTCACTCGTATCTATAATATTAATTCTTCATAATTGATATTGTGTATAAAAATTATTTTAGATACTTTCTACTCTATTAAATTACCTGAAAATTGATCACACGAAACGAGATTCTCTCGACTGGGGTACATTATTAGTATATAGCTGTAAAGGAAATTGTTATATCGATGATGAAAAGAATCTTCACTATTTAGAAGAATATATTTGGCGTCAAAATTTTTCGGAAGAGGGAGTTCAGCTGGATCAAAGATAAAAATAATTTTGTTGTGTTGGTAAATAATAGGCATTAGATGTGAATCTCTACCGAAAAGTAAATTGATCCTGATTAAAGTAGGTCTGAAATAATTTACCGGGATAATCTTGAACTTTGGCGTGATGAAAACAATGATCATCACCATCATACATTTGACTACGTATGCAACAAATGAATGAATGAATGTTGTTCGCTACGCCAAAATAGTACGTAGTCGCACATTGGCTCGACTGATCATGTTAGTATTTTTTCTTGATGCGTTAATATAAAAAGTCGTAACCGGAAATAAATTTTATTTAAAGTGTATATATATAGTAAATAAAGAAGAGTGTTGCCATTTGGGAGAAGGTGGTCCCTACTTTTTCAAAATTTTATACTCTGTCACAACTCCAAAAACGCATAGGCAACAATGGAGCGGGATCGAGTACCCGATCACCGGAAAAATACGTTCAAAGCCAAAGGCATTTTTAAGGCAGACGAGTTAAGAAGAAGGCGCGAAGAGCAACAGGTCGAAATTAGACGAAAGCACAGAGAGGAATCATTGGCTAAACGACGAAATCTAAATATTGCTGGAGCTGTTGCTTCTGATTCGGAAGATGAAGGGCAAGTAGCGGCTGCTAATGCTCAGCTACAAGAACAACTACCAGGAATGCTGGAAGGTGTAATGTCAAATAATGTCGAGGCGCAACTTGCAGCTACCACGAAATTCCGAAAATTGTTATCAAAAGAAAAAAATCCACCAATTCAACAAGTGATCGAGTCTGGCGTTATCCCTCGTTTTGTCGAATTCTTGAAGTCACCTCATACTCTTATTCAATTTGAAGCTGCCTGGGCTCTTACTAACATCGCATCTGGCTCGCCGGAACAAACGAAGGTTGTGATTGATTCTGGAGCTGTTCCGATTTTTGTTCTCTTGTTAGAAAGCCCAGTTGCTGATGTGAAGGAACAAGCCGTCTGGGCATTGGGAAATATTGCAGGTGATAGTCCTCCATGCCGTGATTATGTCTTACGTGAAGGAGCCCTCCGTCCTTTACTTCGTATATTACACGAACATCACAAGCTCTCCTTGTTGCGTAATGCAACTTGGACCTTGTCTAACTTTTGCCGTGGAAAGAACCCGCAACCTGATTGGCAACTAGTTTCGCCTGCTTTGCCGATCCTTGCCAGACTTATTTACTCTGTTGACGAAGAAGTATTGATTGATGCTTGTTGGGCTTTGTCTTACTTGTCTGATGGATCCAATGAAAGAATTCAAGCTGTTATTGAAGCAGGTGTTTGCCGTCGTTTAGTTGAGCTCTTGATGCATCCATCACTTTCTGTACAAACACCGGCATTGCGGTCGGTTGGTAATATTGTCACTGGAGATGATGTCCAAACTCAAGTTATCATCAATTGTGGTGCGCTTCCGGCTTTATTATCTTTATTATCGAGTCATAAGGAAGGCCTTCGCAAAGAAGCTTGCTGGACCATTTCCAACATCACTGCCGGTAATAGTGAACAAATTCAAGCAGTCATGGATGCCGCCATTATTCCTCCTCTTGTTAATATATTGGAAACCGCCGATTTAAAAACACGAAAAGAAGCATGTTGGGCTATTTCTAATGCAACTTCTGGCGGCTTGAATAAACCACAAATCATCAAATTCCTCGTCAATCAACGATGCATTAAACCGCTCTGTGATTTATTGACTTGTATGGACAATAAAATCATTCAAGTTGCTCTCGATGGACTTGAAAATATCTTAAAAGTCGGCGACATGGAAAAAGGTGATGACGGAAATCCATACGCCTTGTATATAGAGGAAATTGGTGGTATGGAAAAAATTCATAACCTTCAAATCCACGAAAATACCGACATATACAAAAAAGCATATAATATTATCGATACATATTTTGGCGATGAGGATGAAGAAGATGCGAATTTGGTACCACAGATGGATATGTCGACCGGTCAGTTCTCGTTCGGAAATAATGTCAATGCTCCACCGGGTGGCTTCAATTTTGGTGGTGGACAACCAATGTAATTGATTGACTTATGGCATGGTATGGGTATGATATGGTATGGTTTGGTTGTATGGTTATCATATATCAAACGATTAGAGTTCAGTATTAGTGTGGAAATTAAACAGCGATATATACACTTTCTTGTTTTTTTTTTATAATTATTTTTGTAAAGCTGGTTCATCAAATGATAAATAATAACTTGGTGTTATATACGAATTGGTTAACTTTTTATTAAACAATTATCCCTTTACACAATCACAATAAATACCTATTATATTGATTAAATACAAATTAATATAATCCCCTCAACGAAAAATTCCTTTCAAACTCAAGAAATAAAAGGTGTAAACACATCATCAAAGTATGCTTAGCATATATAATATTATGTCTTGGAGAGTAGTACTGCTCTTGAGTAACCGGTTCCGAAGTAAGAAAGATAAGTGTTTACATCATTAAGATGAATCAATTTTTGAAGACTTGACGGCAAAAGATATTTTATAATTTATTTGATATTTTGTATAATTCGTAATTTGATTATTTTATCATAATTATAATCGCACACTCACAAAAGATGTATCGCTATTCCTAATTGAAAAATATCAAATGATTAACAACCTGTTCCCAATGGATCCCCCATAAATGCATAGCCCATCCGGTAGTAGCCAGCAACAAGAGAACAAACAAGATGAACAGTTGCGCGTCAAATAAGTTGAGTTCGCTAGTTTTGTTGAATGCTTTGGATTTGGAGGATAATTTGTGACTGGCTTCGAGTGTTTGACACCATTGTTTAATCTACGAAAAATTACAAAAAAATTCAAACGTCTCATATTGTGCTTAAAGATCAGTAATACGAAATTTCTTGATTCAATTTGTATTACCTGTCCACATGCGATGCTAATCTTTAAAAAGTTTGGGTCTCGTGAATCGTTTTTTGTGATGATTACTTGTGTGTAATGACGAAAAATATCGATCACATTCAATATATTCGTTGCTTTTTGAATCAACTAAAGAAAAACTAATGAATGAATCAACTAAAATACAAAATTACCATCAATAAAAGATAATTCACCCACCTTTACAGTCTCCCCTTTTCGAATCTTTACATTTCTCAGATAAATGTTGTAATTTTTAAACACAAGCGCCAAAGTAGCGATAGCCATCACCTGAGGAATAGCACAAAAATTAAAAATTTTCTGATCACGTATATTGCCCATGTACACCAAACAATCGGGTACATGTTGCAACGCGTCCAGACACATGTTCGATAGACAGTCGATTGCTTGTTTCTTGTGATCGGGGTCTTTGAGATCGCTCAGATTGCTGGCATATTTGGACCAGATTTCTTTTGGCCAGAAACGTCGATTTTCATTCAAGTCTTCAAGATAGTCTCGGATGATGTTTGTTTTTTGGAGGAAGAGACCCATTGAAATTGATCTAATTTAATTTTGCGTTCAGCGATGATTAAAAAAAAAACTTTCACCACAATAAAAGAAAAGCTTTGCTTGACTATCAAACTTACAATTTCGTGTTCTTTCCCACTTCAGGACTCTCGAGACCACTAGCACTAAACAAGTTACTTAGACCTAATCCAACCAAGCCAGCCACATAAAAACAATACTCATCATAATCTTTTATCGTGTTCACGCCGTACTCATTATGTGCGGCATTTGTTGCATAGTCGGCCATGCCATTACTCATTCGCTTGGCAATATCAAAAATCACTTCTTTATAACTATTAAATAATTTATTCTTACTTATTCTGTTATAGGATGATTTTTATTGAAACAAATAGAACTTACACTGTATCAAGCTTCTCTAGTTCTTCAATGACAACCGGATATTCCACCAACAACTGACGGTCTTTCTCATCTGGACCATCTAATGATACACATATTAACTTTTAGGTTTCTAAATAAATAATAAAATAAATGATAAACCATACTTTCTGTGAAATTCCATCCATCTGTGGCGATAATCTTTTCCCAATCTCTCAATATGGGAAGTTTTTTCTCGATTGGAATTGTCATATCATCCTCGATCGTATCCAATCCACGTAAAACAAGATAAAATAAGCAAACCTTTTTTTTACCAATTTATCAAAATCGATAATCAAATTAATCAAGTTTCGATTCATATAACAAACAGTTCCTATAAGATACACACTGCATCTCTTAACTCTTCATTCAATTCCTGTATAACAACTGCAAAAGATCGCGACGTCAAATTAAGAAACTCGTAACATCGTATTTTACTTTTACGCCAGCATGCTATTTTTTCCTTGCGAGTCAAAACAGATGATGATGATGACGACGATTGAGTGAATTTGTATTGGATTAATGCGATGATTTCTGTTGGATGAAATGCGGAATCGATTAATGCTTTTGCCATGTTTTCTTTCTATTTCTTAATTTATTCTTTAACCGTTTTTCTGGGTTTAATTATTTATGTCTTAAAAGAATGAGAAGTTCTTAAAAACATATAGAAAATTGTTAAATATCATAAATGTATTTCGTTTCTTCTCTTCGTAACCAAAAAATCACGCATGGTTAAATAGAATAATTTTTTATCATAACAATAAAAAGTTATCTCACGTAACAAATAAAAAAATGACAGGTTTACTTTCTGATCGAGATCATTCAATAAATAATTGCATTCATTCAGATTATATAATTCATTCAGGTTATATAATTCATTCAGGTAAATTATAATTCATAAAGTAAATCATTGCGCGTACGCGTAATTGTATTTACGGACGATTTTATCATATGAAAGAATCTGTAAGGGCCGTGACATATATTTAATATAGGTTTACTCCCCCCCCCCCCAGGATATTACGTAATATCTGTCACAGCCCTAACGGTAAATGAAATAATTCCAGAAATGGGAATTCGAGGGCTAAACGCTTACATCAAGAATCAAAACCTAGGAACACCAGTCTCTTGGGCACGCACCACGAGCACAACCACTACTGCTCCGCAGTCCATTTCGCAGGTAAAAACGTGTACACTAGAAAAGAGTAATGCGAAGAATTATCTTGAGGAAAAACAGCGATATTTTGTATTTGACGGGAATGCATTTATTTATCACATTTATACTGGAAAATTGAATTGGGTTTTTGGTGGTGGGTATTAATTGACCCAACACTTGTTTTATAATCGATCTATTAATTGAATTGGTAACTCATTAAAGGCCAATACACAACATTCGCAAACCTCGTAAATTCACACACAAAAACAACACACGCCTATGAAATCGATCAAACATACCTATTCGACGGTCCACTTCCCCTCCTAAAACAAAAAACGCGTGTATCTCGATTCCGCGAAGGAATCGATAAATGCAAAAATCTGCCATCATCGATTAATTTCAGTAAAAAGGGATTTTTGATTCCGCCATTGACACTCGAAATCGCCATACAGACACTTCGAAAGATTTCGAATGTTAAAATGGAGATGTGTGCTGGTGAAGCAGACAATAGTGTTGCTAGTATTGCGAGGTCGGTGAATGGTTACGCAATTGGTAATGATTCGGATTATTTTGTGCATGATTTACGTGGGGAATCTGATAATGATGAGTGGTTTGGTGGCGGAAGAAGTGGCGGTGGATACATTCCACTGGACACTTTACAAATTCCAAAAAGCGATGGATTAACGAATAATGAGAGAATTTCTGCGACTGTTTATCGTACAATAGATATCGCGTCACATTTCAACATTCCAGTATCTTTACTACCACTCCTTGGATCATTAAATGGAAACGATTATATAGAACCAGTCGCTGGGCTACCAGATAACATTGAAGGAATTGCCAGACTCCTCTCACAATACCACAACAACAACAACAACATTGACGAAATAATAAATAATATATTTAGCAGACGATCATTTTCCGACGACGAATTGACTCAGAAAACGCGTAAAAATCTCCACGAATCAGTTAAACAATATTCCTCTACAACTGATTCCACAAACACCAATTTCAATTCGCTACCACCGTATTTTTACGACGCTTTCAAATCAGGACGCGTTAGTCATATGCTAATGGACGTGGTCTGTAATCGAATATTTTGGTGTGCACCGTTTCTTGAGGATCAGAGTAAAGAGAGCGCGTGGATTCTAAGTCGCCCTGTTAGAAAATGGATTTATGCTATTTTGGATGTAATAACTGTTGAAGATGACAGAATAAAAACATCGGAAAAGGAATCTAGTACAGTACTTGAATGTCTAAGACGCAAAAACCATTTAATATATGAGGAAATAAAAATAATACCTCACGAAGAAATTTTCAGATTCTTTAAAGAGTACAATAGTTCGTCATTACCAAAATTCGATGATTTAATCTCAATGCCAAAAGAAATTCGCACCAAATTATTTTTCCATATTCTAAATTCAGATATTCCAAAAGTATACAATCTTTCTCTATTGTCTTCCTCATCTTCGCTTTTTCATCAATTTCTCGCTGCATCGCTTCGATATCTCGTGCATAATCTCGCGCTTTCATCATCAAACAAAATCACCAATCAAGAAGTTTACGCGTTTATCTCATCATCAATATTCGTCTCTTTTCTAGACAAATCGATCGACTATGACTACAATTACAAAAATGACGGCTACATTAATATAATACATCTCACCTCGCAATATCAACATTTGATACACTCTGCGTGGATGCTCGCACAATCGCTTTCTCTTTATGATTTCGTGGACGGTGTCTCGTTGTGTCATTTATACGATGGATGTGCATTCCATTACTTTTATCGAAAGATTGGAAACGCGAAAGTGATGAATAATGTTGATAGTTCGAGTATTATGAGACCTGTATTTGAAGCTGCTGTTCAAGAGTTTTGTACGGCTTCATCTGAAAATGAGAAAGACGGAGAATTACTTTTACAGGAATTTGAACAAGTTTGTCAAATTGTGGAAGAAGGGTTAGTCGATGAAATTTCTTTTATAAAAATGACTGATAATCTCAAAAAAAAGAAGAATCGCGAAATTAGTCATGTTCAAATTGATACAAACAATCCCTATTCTGTTTTGGAAAATTACAATCAATAATCATAATAGAAAATGGTTTGCTTCTTTCAAAATTTTTATGACTTTTATTTTGCTAGATACAAGTATTATTTATTACCAAGCTATTATTAATCTATACTTATTATCATGGATCCTACCAAGTGATGCCAAACAAACCTCCCATCAAATAGCAAATAATGCTGAGCTCAATCCCATCGCGAGCACGCCCAAAAAAAAGAAAACATTGACTAATGTCCCGTCCGACGTGTCATTTTTGATCGCTTGCGGCAGCATACCCTGCAGATAGTAACAAGAATAGAAATTAGTTGGGGGGTTTACATGAAAAGATTCTAAGATAAAAAATAACCATATTAATAGAACGTACCTGTATAGCAATAACACTCATCAATCCACTCACACAAGCAAACACTCCACTATACATCGCATTCACATCCCAATGCTCCAAATAACTCTCATGAATAAACGCCCAACCTATAAACGCACCAAACGGTTGACTCAGCCCACCCAGCAGGCTTGCATACAGGAAACTTTTTATTCGTGAATTGGTAGCCACGTATAGGGGCAGTGCGATTGTGACACCCTCGGAGATATTGTGTACTGCAATTGCTAGGAATAATGCGAATCCTAGTGTTGGGGATGCTTGTGATGTTATGAATGTTATTAGACCCTCTGGAATTGAAAAAAAGAAGGGAATTAGTTTTCGAGTAATATGAACAATTTATAAATACAAATATATGTAAAATTGAAAAATAACCTGGAAATTTGTGTATGGAAATCGCGAGAGCTGATTGTATTCCGATCTGCATCAGTGATACTTTATTTTCTTCCAAATCTTTTTGTTTAGAAAAGTGTGGAAAATGATGATTATGTCCATGACCATGAAGACTTCCGTCTCCATCATCGCTATTATTTTCTTCAATGACAAGAGAATGTTGATCACAAACAACACCACCATCATCATCACCATCATCATCACCATCATCATCACCATCATCAACAACGATACATTGACTATCAAGCTTTACATCTTCTTTAGTGTGACGATCCATCTTCAGCAACAGTGGTGATCTTTCAGTATCTTCCAATGAATTTGATCCTGAATTTATTGACTTATTTGTGTTTATTGATGCCGTAAATGTAGACGATTTGACAGGAGGCGGAGCAAGAGTATGATGATGATGATGATGATGATGATCTCCGTGAATTTCTTTGACAATATAACGGTGAATCGCACGATTAATTATAGTAGACCCGATCACACCCAGGAAATAGAATCCGAGGACGTAGAACCCAGAGAATTGACTAAATAAACGCGATGCATCCGCGTACATTCTGGCTTCTGGTAGTAGATTGTAGAGACTAGAGAATGCCTATTAGTTATTTGTATTGGAAGATGATGATAATTAACGAGAGTAATAATTAATATAGGGGATGTAGAATATGATTGAAGATTATCATTGAAATGCATACCAAAACTCCTGATCCAAGTGATAAAGAGGCAACCAAAAGATCTGTGTTTTGCGTGATTTGTTGAGTGCGAAAGAACCGTTGTAGGAACAGATCTGAAAACACCACCGAAGCTATAAATTCAAGTTTACAAAAAATTGAAAGTAGTTAAATAATAAATAAAAGTAATAAAATATGAACTTTTTATAAAGTAAATTTTACCTCCCAGACAGCAAGCTAACCCGGACGCGATAGACAACACCCACCCTTGTAGGTTATTACCGTAGTCTTCTGGCACGTTGGGTGGTGTTTTCTGTGGGTGGTGTAATGTGAACATTATTTTATTATTATTTTTATTATTACTAATTGATTTCTTTGGACTTAAAACTGTTCCGAGAAATTGCAGCAACAATATGTAATCATTTATTCTTTATTATTTATTATTTATCGTAAAAACGTTATTTTTATTGCATTTTTTATTGCTGACTTGAGTAGAAAAGCAAATAAATGGTTAGTATGACACAATCTATCTAAATGACAAATATCAATTAATCGTCTGAAGTCTGACCTTCAAGGTACTCTTTGTCATGAACACAAAACGAAGTAAAAAGGAATGTGTACCTTAGTGGCTGTATATTTATTTCTGAATCAACGTCATTCATTTGATGATGGTGATTACCGCGCATCATTGATTGTTGAATTGCATGAGATGGATTTTTTTGCTTTAGTGACACTTTTTGCGTTAATGTAGTTTAGCTACTCTGCACGTCTCATGAATATCAGGTTGACCTACACTAACAAACAAAAGAAAAAAGAGTCTCAAAAACTATATTTTGGAAGTTTAGGTCAGGTCAAGTCTTGAATAAATGAATAACTTCCGGTTTCTTTACATGTGAATGATCGCACGATTATTTACCCCCACAAAGAAGCATACGAAAAAAATGTTCTAAATGCATGAGGTGCAAAATATCGTTGTATAGTTGATAATTAAGAAAAAATATTTCGAAGGAAATAATCTTTGATTACGCATACATAGATATTAACTTACTCTATTATTTATGAATGAATGAGTACCTTACAAGTTACTCTAGTTGGTACAACAGTGGATATTGATTGACATTCCATTTAATACATAAAGATGCACACACGCCCTCGAATCACGGTTTATCTTTCTAGAAAAAAACAATACACTACTAAAAAGGAAATATAACTATAACGATAATAACAAAAATTCGAACGTTACGTACGCTGGGGCGAAGTACATGTATTATGTCGTGTATTTATTTTCAGCGAAAAAAGGAAATTGTATCATTATCGAACAAATAAATAATAAATAAGTAAATTAAAAATTTTTCTATGAAAGAAATTATTTATAATTACAAGATTAATTACGTGAATTAATAATAAATAATAAAGTGTCCATTTCACAAAAAATAAACAAAGTAAATAATAATAAATTATGCTATGCTTATAGTCCGTCTTTTTAATGCAGGAGATGTTATATCGAGAGCGGGATCAAATTCTTTGACCCAGCATTCTGGATACGATTTTTCGCCATTAGCAATCACTTCATTAATTTCCATATATCGTTCTGCGTAGACATGATGTCCCGAATTCGGAAGGATAAATACTAAAAAATAAAAATCAAAAATAAATCCCACTAATAAATAAATTAATATACAAATAAAGATAAATACCTCTAACATTCGGCAACAAATTCTTCGCCTTAATTTCGAAAAGACTGAACGTCGGATCCATCCAATCATTTTCACCATACACAAATTGCACCGGTAATTCACCCAACAAATGCAACTCATCCTTCAACGGTAAATGCCATCCTTTTAATGGTGAGCCCAGTCGTTTGAATACCGCTTCCCCGGATATTGGTGTTTGCACCGCTAAATTGTAAAAATAGTGTATTGTTGTTTTGTCTTGATACGGGAATGCTTCGAGTAAATCAGATCTAGCACTTGACATGAATGAGATCATGCGTTTTCGTGGTAACATGCTAACTATGCGTTGTGGTGTTAAACTCCACGCAGAGGATATTAAGAGTTGGTGAGCGAATGAAGGGAGTATGCTGGTTGGTACTGTGAAGCCTTGTAAACCTAAATGTTTAAAATAAAATGAGTCTTTTTTCATAAACTAAGGATTTAATTTTGAAAATTATAAAATACCTATCGGTGAAATTAACACAAGTTTATCGAGATGTTGTCTGTATTTTAAAGCATAGGATGCAGATACATATCCACCCATTGAATGTCCTACTAATGTGAATTTTTCAATTCCCATTGCTATTCTCCAAGCTTCAATGCTCTCGACCCACCATTCTTGAGCTTTTTTAGGATTATCCCCGCCACAATATCTTGGTCTTGAACTTCGTCCCCATCCCAATAAATCTATAGCATGAACTTGATATTTCTGTGTTTAAATATATCGAATAACTATATATTAGTAATAATAATGATGATGGTGAGAATAATAATAATAATAATAACAATAACAACATACAATACCTGAGCAAGATCATCAAAAGATTGTACAAAAATTCCTTTGCCAGCTCCCCCTAAAAGAAAAAAATTATCAAGAAATAAGAATTTGAGTAAACAAACAAACACAAGAACCATAACGAAAAATAAATAACACCTACACCCATGTACAAGCACACAAACGGGTTTCTTATTCGTGTCATTTTCACAAACATTCGACACAGTACTAATTTCAAAAGTCTTTGCTTTTTTTTCTCCTACTTTATTATCAACAAAATTCTTCGGTATGCTAACCATTCGAAACTTCAAAGGAGTCTGAACAGCGCGTAACATTTCGCGTTCAGCATCTTCAAGCAACGCAGCCTTCTTATTAACGCGTTTTTGTGCCATTGGTTTCTTTTTAAGTTCGATGTAAATCCGGTTTCGGGGTAAAATTGGTTTCTCGCGCAGAGAAAGTGACAATGGAATACGACGAATACGCGTTGTTAACGATTCAGAAGTGGTGGTTATTTTTGCGAATGTGATAAGTGAAGCGAGAAATGTGAGTGGTGCTTGAAGGTATCGCGATATTTGTTGTGTCGCCGAGGTGGCAATATGCTGAAGCATTTAATTTTTTACAACATCATGAATATAAGTTTTGTGGGGTTTATGTAATTTTTTGAAACCGGTTATTTTTACTTCTATAGATCCAAATTTGAAACAATTATAATTCCATGGAATACAATTTGACCCTTAGCCGAGCGTGGAAGAATCATATTTCTAATTATATCTTATTCTTCTAATTATATCTCAATATTTCTTTATATAGAAATACTCAAAATTTGAATAGGTTTGTACTCTTTGAAGCCATCTTTGCTGTTCTTGCATATCTTGTAGCCAAATTGCCAATTAGATGCAACGATAACGATAATTGATAAAAATATCGAACAATGGTTTCACATGTTTATTTGGAACCATGTCCATCAAAAAACTTTAATAAAAGCGGTTTATTAAAATAATTATTTTTAATCGATAATGTTTTGGAAATATTGGTCAGACGCGACACTTTCCGCACTCCAAGAAAAACATGTTATTGTCACCGGAGCGTCCAAAGGACTAGGTAATAAAAAATTTATATTTTGCACTATATTCAATTTATCTTATCAATGTTTGATGAAATCGTCAACCTTTTGACGAAACAGGTGAACAGTTCGCGTATTTTCTTTCGGCAAATCATGTATCGCATTTAGTGATCGCAGCTCGAACAACCGATCTTCTAGTGCAAGTATCAAAACGATGCATCGATCTCGGCTGTCAAAAAATAAAATATATAACACTTGACGCAGGAAATGAGCAAGAATGTTCATTCTTGATCACGGAATCTGTGAAATTTTTCCCTGATGGCACAATCGACATGTTAATTCTAAATCACACAGACTCCGTTTATGATTTTATGGATTTCAATGCGCCACCAACAGAGATAATTGCCACCCTTTGCCGAGTAACTCAAGTAAATTATTTTGGATACGCGGCGTTGGCACATCATGCTCTGCCATACATGACCAATGACTTGACTACCACGATAGCTTCGATGGAGTCCCCATTAACAATCACGGTCACCACCACACGGAAAACTAATATTATTGTGATTTCTTCGATGTCCGCGTTATTATCCATACAAAAAACTCATGCTTATGCGGCAAGTAAAAGTGCCATCAATCAGTATTTTATCAGGTTACGTGACGAATTACGATTTCAAGGATTAGCGAAAAATTGTCGAATTTCAATTTGTATTTTGGGTGCTATCGGAACTCAGAATTTCTATCGAACTGTCACGAATCCTAATGTACTCAGTCAGGCTTCTGACCCGAAAGCAACAGTCGAAACAATTGTAAGGAGATCTTTATGTGGTGATGATTGGATTTATTACCCGAGTTCAGTTGGTTATATTGCGTGGTTGTCTGGTTTCATGCCAGAAGTCGTGAGTCGACTGGTTAATTGGTTATATACATAATGTAATATTCAACAATATCTCATGTATGTGTGTGTATATATATATATATATAAATATATATATAATTTTTTATTAAAGAACGCATTCGTTAATTAGCATTTTCCAAATAGTTGGCCAAAAAATTAATCGTAATACTAATATTGAACGTATAAAATACGAGAAAATTCGTGTTTCTTCAAACGGTTAAATATTCAAAAAAGGTTTTCTTTGGCATATTAATGCGTAATTTCGCATTCTTTTTCGCTATGTCAAGTTCACCACCAGTTTCATCCATGAACCCTGGATGGCAAACGTAAGTAAGACGATGTCCCTCTTCAGTATCATAACCTATAAAATAAATAAGTAAATAAATGTCCATTTATGGAATAATAATGTAGATAAATTGATAATTACTTACTAAATGATGTTAATGCATAATATCGACACATTGTATGCACCACCCAACGTGCAAATTTATCACCAATATCCCAAACTAAAAATGCTTCATGAAGTGTAAAAAGAATAGGAGGTTCATGGACTTCATTCGATATCGAACGATTAAGGTCAGACATTCTAACAATGTCCTGTTCTTTCCTAATGATTACCACATCATGTTCTTTATCCACCTCATTAGAGGTCAACTTTCCTTCCTTAACTTCATCGACATTAACCCATTCATCATGAAAATCAGAAAAGATGGGCGACGAAAAGTCGTTTTCCTTCTCTTCGTCACAACCGCCTTTCTTGATATTAACTCGATCCAAGAAATAAATCAATTCGCTCTCGTACTTTTTGATTAATCTTCTTGGATGATTCTTCTTCAAACGCTTACGCATCTCGCGAGTTACAGTTGGTTGGCCATTGTTTTCGTCACTTTGGCGAGGATGTTTTTTGGGATTGACGTTGTGGAGCTCGATTTTACGATCCGCTAAAGCCATGCAAAGCTGGTCAACAACCGCGTCGTAAACGAAGTGAAATGTGGCCAATTCGTTCTCGTAGCCGGGGGGGACAAGGTCCGCAGGATCGAGAATTGCGAACGGGTGATCAGTAAAATTGTCTGGTGTATGTGTGAATTATATATTGGTGGATTTGTAGTGGGATTGATGATAAATTTTCACGAGGAGGATATAAAAGATCCTCTCCACATCACCAACATATATGTACATATCACATTCATAATTCGAAGCTATGATAAAATAAAATACAACTTAAAAATGCACAAGTCCCAAGCTTTTGAAGAGGAAAAATCATGCAAAATCAAGTTGTACTTATCTATAGCTTCAAAAAATAGAGCATAATTGAAGATTTGTCCGTTCTTCTAATACTATAATTCTATTTTGTTATTTTCTTTCATTTAAATGACTTTTACCCTAATGGTTGTCGTGTATTTATAAAGTTCTAACAATAAATAGTAAGCTATCGTGAAACGACAAACTTACTATTATCATGTCGGTTTCGACGTCTGCTTCCATCTTTTCCTGGAGAATCTCTAATCACTAAAGAATCACGTTGAAAAAAGCATTTGCGTTTCTTTGTTCGCTTTGGTTTATTGGCTTTATCATCAATGTTATCGGTGTCTTTTTCAGCTAGAATGTTATCGTTGACAGGCAACTCAACAACGGGTTGATGCTGGTTGATTGCTGCGGAAAGAGTGGGAATAGCAGTTTGTTGCTGCTCGGCAAGTTGTTTAATAGTAGCCATGTTGAAAGAGATAAGGTTTCTTTGATTAAATTAAAAGGGAAAATTGCCAAAATTTATAAAGTGAAGTGTTGGAGTCTTTCGATTTTGTGAAGCGGGAAAATGAATCAACCTATTTAACAAATCTGCAGCCCAATTAGGAATCAAGTTTTTGCACGTTCCGCAACAACAAATAATACCACAAAAGAAATCGCGAAAAGTCGATTAACAGTTATGTTTTTCGATTTCTATAGAATTTTGGCTTGGATCATTGCAAATCCCATAGAATTATATTAATTATGACCCAATGAATTAGTTCCAGTCACTCATACAATTAGTGTTATTTCTAAAACTATAAATTTTTATCTTATTAGAAATGTCCACAAAGTGATGATTTTCTATGTAAGGAAATAACGACAAAGAAAGAATATAAAGAATGACATTTGCTTCAAAATCTACCACAAAAATTTTGGTGCGGGTGCTAAAGTAGATGATTTCTATATACTTCCCATGCTTCATCTATTTTATCCTGGATTGTCATCTTCCCTTCCTCTCTTCTTGCATCTCTTAATTTATCGTATGAAGGTTTAAACCAAGGTCTGCCGCTTGTTGAAAATGATTCTTTGTTTTTTCGATATTTTTTTCCGTTCCAATTTCCTTTAGATGATAATTACCGAGTAAATATCGGGCAGCTAAATTCCCATTTTCTGCGTATTTTTTGCATAACTCGAATGCTACATTAATATCTCTCCCTTCATAAAATTCTACAAGTTCTACTTGTCCACGTGCATTTCCTGCATCAGCCGATTTCTTATACAATAAAAGAGCTTTACCAGGATCCCTTATTTCAAAAGTGC